ATTTATAACTTGGGGAAAGATAGAACTTGGGGAACTGGAATAATGCTAGGAAGTGAAAAACAAACACCCGCTTCATACTGAATAGGTTTCACCTGGATTTCAGCCCATAGATGGTGCTTGAGGATCTGACAGAAAACAGGCCATGCTAAGTCTGGACATAGCTCCCCCCTACACACACACACACACACACACTGCATCTTAGGACACATTGCCACGGGCAGGCACAGAAGCCCTGGACTAAAAGCAAAGTGACCTGGGTCCTGGCACCCGGCAGCTATGCTCCTTCTAGTCATGGGTGGGGGAGCATGGGTTTAGGGCAAAGATCGAAGGTTTTTTAAAACTTTGGCAAGTTACGTATACAAATGTCTTGATTGTCACTTTTATAAGGAAATATCACCCTACTTCTTGGAAACAGAATCTCCTTATTCAACTTGCCTCTCAGACATTTGGAGGGCAAACTCCTATAACACAGAAGTGGACTAAAACCTCCTGCTTGCAGTAATGGCTATTATTTTTCACCTTCTCTATTTTAAAAAGCATATGAAATATATAACCTGTCACTGACAACTAATCCCGAGCTATTGCTCATAATGGAGGTCTGGAACAATTTTTTTAAAAAAGTTGGTCCTTTAATTCCTTTAAATAAACTATACATCAGACCCCTGATAAAATAATATTAGCTGATGCAATCGGGCATCGCTTCAAATGGAGACTGCAGCCACGAAATCAAGAGAAGGCTTAGACTAGGAAGGACAGCCATGAGAAAATTAGAAAACATCACCCAAAGCAAAGATGTGTCGTTAGAGACCAGGGCCGAGGCTACCCACACCCTCGTATGCAAAAGCTGGACAGGGAGGAAGGCTGATAGAAAACAATTGATTCATTTGAAACACGGTGTTGGAGGATTGCTTTACGAATACCCCAGGCCACCAGACAGACAAATGGGTTCAAGAGCAAATTAAGCCTGAAACGTCATTGGAGGCACGTATGACAAAACTGAAGCTGGCCTACTTCAGGCACATCCAGAGAAGGCAGGCTCTGTGGAAAAGACAATAATGCTGGGAAAAATAGGAGGCAGCAGGAGAAGGGGAAGGCCAAATACTAGAAGGATAGACTCCGTTAACAAAGCCACAGGGGTGAGTCTACAGCTGCTGGTCGGGGCTGCTGAGGCCAGGACACAGAGGACATCATTCATTTGTGGGGTCGCTGGAGACAAAAGTATGTGACACGCAGAGTAGTGAGGCAAGAAGCATGGGCCCGATAATTCAGAGCTGATTTTCTTCTAAAATGCTATAATTATCTGCATATTAATAAAAAATAAATTCTAAGTTTAAAAAAACAAGAGATTCAAGGTTGAACAAAACTGTAAGATACTATCTCAAGGACTCACAATCTCGTTTGAAGAGTTTCATTGTGCACACAACAGTTTTGTCAACTGTAGCATGACTGTTCTGTTCCAAAGGGTAACGAGGGTGTTTAAGGACCAGACGCAAGGCCCACACTAGAGTGCAATTCATGACTGAAAAGGTGAATTACTGTTCATGGTGTTAGGAGAAACACGTTTCAGTGCTATTGGAAATTCATTAGGTTAGGCATATCTTCATAATTTTAGTTGCTATTTTGAAGATAACCGAAAGGGAGAAACTAGAGAAAGACATTTAAAATAAAAACATAAGACTCTAGTTATGCAATTCCTTCTGGTTACAGAAAGAATCCTTTGTAGATCTATAGGAATAAATTATTGATCTATTCAAACCTCCACCATTAAGTTACATTAAGTAAAGTCTGGAGGATTCTTAAGATTTATGAATTATTCTAGAAACATTTAACTCCAAGCAGAGCTGCAGCAGCCCTACTTTCACATTGTTCAGTTGATGGGGGAGAGGGGAGAAGCTATGTGCCCAGCGTCTACCTAAAGAGGTATAAGTTATGAACTGTATTTCTAATGCAATCGCAGAATGGCTTTGCCATATCTGCCCTAATAGTTGATAGCACCTGAAAAATGTAAGCCTGGATGGATTGTGAGAAGCATTCAAGAAGCAGTTAACAAAGCACCCATTGTGTGCCTAGAGCTAGGCTTGTTGCTATGGGAAAACAGAAAAGTAAGGAGACACATATGAGTCCTGTTTTCAAAAGCATAAGTTACAGCTTAAAATGTGGTTTTCATTTAAAAATTATATAGTCTAAGTATTATATTGATGTTAACCCAATGTCCTTTCTTAGACCCATATTATTTCCAAAAGAGGCAGGTTAATTTGGGCTTTGTTACTCTAATGGGAGTGTAATTATTATGTTTGTGAAAGTTATGAAGCAATTTTATATTTATAAATACTTAATAATTCATTTCCTCCTTAAGTCTAACTTGTGAGCAGTAAAAATGATCCCCATTTCACAGAGAAGAAACTAGACATGAGATGAAATGCTTATCATATCAGAACAAGAATATGAATTCATGGGCTTTGAACCTCCAGCCCTCATAAGTTCTCCTTTCTTCCCTCTCCCTTCTAATTAATTCAGCAAAGTGGCTTATAATAAGCTCATATAAGCCTTATATGAATGCTCATCCAGGATTTATTTACTAAACAACCATTCTTCCAGTCTTAAAATAAGGGGGACTAGGAATTAAAAACTACCAGTTGAAGTCTTATACAAGTCTACAGGCAGACAGAAACCTAACCCAACAACATTTCAAACGTAGACTGCTTTGGTTGCAGCCTAACACTGGGGTGTGGCTCAAGGGCGGGGTCACAGCGGTCCGACGGAAACAGAGTTTGAAATCACTCTAACACTTGGCTCATCTTCAAGGTTCAGAATGAGGTCCTAACTGGGAAAGCTCCAGAGACAGGAGTGTGGAGCAAAACTAAAGAAGTAATGGGAAAACATTTGCTCTGGGAATCAAAAATCAACATCCTGAATATCCTACTCTATTCAACTTCAAAGTGAACAGGCATAAAACTTCTGTCACAAACCAGTGTGAATGGTTAAGTCACATCCCAACCAATGAGTCCAATCCAGACTCTTCTAAGATGCAAGTTGCTTCTGTTATCTATAAATATTTGGCTTCTAAGAAGAGGGACATAACATACTTCTCAGCATACAATAGTATAAATCAAATTCCATGGATTTTAAAATCACAATTCACCTTAAAGAGGAGCTTAATCTTTGGGGAAAATGGCTACTATTAACTTGGTGAGAAAATAGGAAAAAAGAAACATTAAAATAATCCAGTTTGGCCCTGGCTGGTGTGGCTCAGGTTCGGCGTCGTCCCATGGAACGAAAGGTGGCTGGTTTGATTCCTGGTCAGGGCACATGCCTGGGTTGTGGGCACAATCCCCACTAGAAGGAGTGCAAAAGGCAGCTGATCAATGTTTCTCTCTCACATCAATGTTTCTCTTTCTTTCTCCCTCTCCCTTCCTCTCTCTCTAAAAATCAATAAAAAATCTTTAAAAAAATAACTGCAGTTGATAGGATGTAACAATATCTCTTAAGCTAATATTACAATTTAAAAAGCATCACAGATAGAAATCATTATTTTAAACACAAACAGCACATTTTCATATAAAATATATTGTTAAAATTGAAAGTAAGTCCAAACTTTCTTGTAAAATAGCTTCTAGGACAGTGGTTCTCAACCTTCCTAATGCTGCGACCCTTTAATACAGTTCCTCATGTTGTGGTGACCCCCAACCATAAAATTATTTTCATTGCTACTTCATAACTGTAATTTTGCTACTGTTATGAATCATAATGTAAATATCAGATATGCAGGATGTAGTTTCATTGTTACAAATTGAACATAATTAAAGCATAGTGATTAATCACAAAAACAATATGTAATTACCTATGTGTTTTCCAACGGTCTTAGGTGACCCCTGTGAAAGGGTTGTTCGACCCCCAAAGGGGTCATGATCCACAGGTTGAGAACCGCTGTTCTAGGACATTAGCTGATATAATATGGATTCAAGGATACTGAGTAAATGAACATTATTATTTGCATTAATGATTTTTAAACTTTACTTTTTAATTAACTTTTTAACATCTATTTTAGTAATAAAAAATATCTTCTGTTAAGGATTTGGATTACATTTTAGTCTTTAACAAAGATATATATAATCTATACATAATAGCAAAGATATATAATCATATATATGTATAATATATAACTACTAATATATGATTATATATATATATAAAATCTTGTTTTCTGTCAGTTTTATTCATTTCAGTGACTTTTCAATTAATAACAAAGTTTGTTTGAACAGAAAATATTTTCTATGGTGGCTTTAAACTGCATTTTTAACCTAAAAGTATTATCCAGAGCCATTTTAGACAACAATGTAGACGAAGTATAAATAGCAGAAATTCACGTTTCTTGAACAAAGTGAGCTTTGTTCACTTTTTCACTTTGTTCAGGTTGGCAGAGTCCTGTTCACTTAACCCTTTGGGAGCGCAGTATCCAAGCAAAAGGTAAAGGGTTAGGAAGTGAACATACAGGGCAGGCTTTAACATTAAACCATAGGTTCCTAGAGAAATATTTTGCTGTGTATTTTTACATCACTTCTCAAGGATAGCTGTTCACCCAAGGACTGATATCCATCACTTTCATTATCTATTGGAGGAAATGTTCCTTTTTAAGTTGCTGAAATTGTTACCAGCAAACACTGTCATAATCTTTCAGTTCAAGACATCAGTATCAGTGTAAACTGCTTCCATTATAAATAATAAATGCATAAAACTGGTAAGGCTACAATTATTTTAGACTGCAATAAATACACAAGAATGAATATGTTATTTTTCATAAAAATGCAATTTCTAACCAATTTAGGGGATTTCCAAACTCTGTTATAGAACGCCAGTCATGTGATATCTGAAAGTTTTTTTATTGGTAGCCACACAGTTGACTACAATATCTCTGTGTTTTCTTGCTATTTAAAAAAATATGGAACCTGGACACTTAAAACATTATCGATGCAATAATCACGATAGACTTTCACTGAATCTTTAAAAGTTTGTAAAAATTGCCAAGGTCATGATGAATACAATTATTATAGCTACATCATTTGAAAAAGTAATATAAATTATGCTGCTAAAGACAAAACGCATGAGCACACATAAACATCACCAGGTGACAGCAGTAACTCATAACTATTTAATATGAAAATTAATTGTAAAAAGGTATGTCAGAGAACTTGGGAATTTTCACTTCAGCAAAACAATCTACTTATATATCTCTAACTTCTATGATACAATAAAATATTTTTTAAAAGATATGACATTCAAATGCTTCATTTACACAATATTGCCCACATTAATAAAAGTGATGCCCTTAAAAATGAACTGTTCTGCTATGATTTAAAATGTTTTCTTTATTTCATTTTACATTTCTATTAGCAGTTATGTGTTGACAGAGAGGATCCTAATCAAAATACTGTTTCCCAAAAGTAATATACATCATATTGCTTGAAATGAACAACCATATAAAAGTGGTAATCATTTATCTAAACATTGATTAAGAAAGACAACTGGCATATATTCAGGCAGAGTGTCCAGTTCATGATGGTTTATTTACAAAAAAGGTATTTTTACTGAAGCTAACATGATATATAGGTTTCTATGTCACTTGCTACAGTCTCTTAAATTTATAAAAATATTATATAAAATACCACAGCCTTTAGAGGATATAACTTCATGTGGTTCTGATACTAGCAGCTGAAAAGTGTTCATAATTTAAAAATAAATAAACTATAGAGGTAAACCAGTTACAAAACAGCGAGGACTGCGATGGTCACGAGACTGAAAAGAACTGCTTAATTACACAGTAGCTAGCAAAATGGTGAAGCAGTTGGATCGAAGGTTTTAAAAACCTCTTTCAGAGATTTGTCATCTGTTTCCCCACTGGGGTCATCCTCTGGGGTGGGGCTCAGCTGTCCCAGCTGCCTGGACTGCCTGGGATCGCTGTACTGGGGTCTCATTAAGCCTGTTAACGCCTGCACAGGAAGGCTGTGCACTGCGGGGACCTGGCCTGCACAGGAGCTGCTGGGGACATGGGCCGGTGCGTCGGCCGGCCCATGGACAGTGGCCTCCGCGTCGGCAGTGGTTTTCTGTGGCAGGGCTGCTTCTCCAGGAGCGCGCTCATTTTTGTCACTGCCTTTTAAACCACCACTTTTTTTCTGGTTCTCTGCATTTTCCGTTGCTGGCTCTGGTGCAGATGATGAGCCAGGCTCCCTAGCGTCATACAAACTAATACCACTGAGAACTGAACTTGGAGTCCCCAGTGGAACACCAGCTGAAGGCGACAGTTTAGGAGTGTAGGGAGGCAAAACCCCAGGTCCAGAGTTGCTGGTTACTGCTGCCGAGGGCTGCGATGCACCAGGGCTTGACCTGGCCAAGTGAGGGGCGCACTTTGGTGTATGTGACTCCTTCGTAACTGCTTGCTGAGATACTGTGTTGTGCAGTCTGTGAAGTCTAGGATCACATTTTTTTTGTAGCCTGGGGTCTCCCAATTTACTTGCTGGGCTGTGCAAGTCCCCAAATGGTTCCAGGTAGCCTTCTCTGCTTGTTGTGTTAATTTTGGCTTTGACTGCCAATTTTGAATCCAGGGGAACTGTGCTTTGATGGAGATCGCTTTTCGAATTCCATAGCCTCTGGTCTGCTATAAGAGGGGGCAGAGGTAAGCTGATTGAAGAGACGGGGTCCGGTTTTGGTAAAGGGACTGGAAGTAAGTCCTCTGGAGCCCACACGATGTGTTTTGCGAAGTTGGGCTTGGCGAGTATGATATCCATTTTAATGTGACTGAACTGCCTCAGCTGCGACCTTGGGTCCTGGAGCACTGCCCCCGGGGGAGAGTCCAGGGGTATTAAGGAAGCTTTTTCTCTCAGTTCTCGTTCTGTGTCCTCTTCCTCATCATCTCCTCTCTTGTGTTTGATGTTAGCGCCGGAATGTGCATGATGTAAATCGCACTTTGCTGCGCCAGCAGAGGAGCTCACCTGCCCACTTCCGTTTCCTCTTGGTTTCCTGGGATCCCACACGAGTCTGAGACCCTGTGCGGGAGGCTCAGAAGACTTTCTAATGTCTTGTCTTGGGATGGTCCTAAGTCGAGGGTCAGACACCTGGTTCCCTTTACTCTTCTCTTTAGCAAGTCTTGGATCAGTAGGAGTGCAGAGTTCCAAGGAAGACTGCTGCTGACTCCTTAAAGTTTCTGTTTGTTTCTGTAACGTTTTCAGGATTGCTTTGACACTGCTCCCTTCTTCCTCTTCACTACTGGAATACCAGTTAACAGGATCATCTAAATGCAGACAAAGACTTATTATAAAGAATGAAGCATGCGGATTCGGCCTGAATTAAGCTAAAAAGGCACATGCTATTTCTGAAGTCTAACTTCAAGACAATGCATCATAGTCCCTGGCCAGTGTGGCTCAATTGGTTGGCATTGCCCCATGTGCCAGAAAGACAATGTCATCATAGAAATGCTAGGGTTTCAACACCGGAACAAGGCAGGGTGTGGTATGATGACCATCAATTTGGTTATCACACTCTGGAAAGACAGAGCTGGGATACTGGGACATGTGCAAGTCCTTCCAGCCAGAGAAAGCCAGGGCCTCTCCCGCCAATTGGCCAAGGGAACTCAGAGCCTGTGTGGTGTAACAGGCTTCAGGGAGAAGGCAAAATACTCTGGGGACAGAAGATGAAAAGATTCTGGATCTCCTTAATTCAAGTAATCCTTAAGCTCTGCATTTATTTTGATAGCAAGGGGAAGATATAAAAATATGTTTGGAAAGACAACAGAGCACTAATAATGACAGTTAAGGAAGCCATGGGAACTGAGCAAATGAGGGGCAAGGTGCAGACTCTTCACTTGTATTTTACATTTTTAGACATTTGACCTATGTGACTATATTAGCTATTCCAGCACTAAATTAAAGATATCAAACAAAACTAACACCCTGAAGTCTATATACTTGACCTTTATGAGAACATTTTGGGCCTTACTCCTAAAGTCTTTTTATCCCTCGTGTTTTGGGAACAATAAGCAGAAGGTATGATAGGGTGAGTCTCCTTCCTCTCCATTCAGACACATACAGGTCGACACTAAGTTGGACACACACACACACACACACACACACCCTAGAACAGCGGTTCTCAACCTGTGGGTCACGACCCCTTTGGCGGTCGAACGACCCTTTCACAGGGGTCGCCTAAGACCATCCTGCATATCAGATATTTACATTACAATTCATAACAGTAGCAACATTACAGTTATGAAGTAGCAACGAAAATAATTTTATGGTTGGGTCACAACATGAGGAACGGTATTTAAAGGGCCAGAAGGTTGAGAACCACTGCCCTAGAATAACCCAGGATCAATAGACCATTGCAGATATTCTTCTTTTACCTCTTTGCACTGCTTAATAATGTGTTTCTACCTCATGGAACTCTAGTGTTACCCTCTTAGTTTGAATACAGCAGTGCTCACAAAGTAAGCAATGGTGTTTAGGGTGGGGATGTGTCTTAATATAGAATACACTATGTCACAATAGCCAAAGGTTTTTTTGGGTCTCAGGGTATGGAAAACAAAGTTTAGATTCTAGGTCTCTTTCCTTCTTCTCTTGGACCTCCAGGAGGCCTAGAGCTGGGCTTGCAATTCATTTTCAATATTTCTGTAGAGTAACTTTGCTCCTCACAGAAGTTGTTACCTGACCCAAAGAGGGAAGATGCTATTTTATTCTCACTTTCATATGAACATATTTAATAAGCAGTCAAATCCCTTTTGGAATGAGAATGAATATAGAACAGAAGGAAAGTAGAACAGCAGAGCCCAACAAGCAGCAAATATTAGACAGGAAATGATGAGTAACAACTTTTTATCAAGGGACAGATACAATTTAAAGGCATTAAAATTTTATGAATATAACAACAAATACACAAAAATCCTAGCTGGTCAAGACTTTTTCTGTATATAGAGAAAACAACCTTTATAAAACATCACCAGTTGTATAATATTATAAAACTAGAGGCCCGGTGCAAGAAATTAGTGCATGGGGGAGGGGGGTGTGTGTCCCTCAGCCCAGCCTGTACCCTCTCCAATCTGGGACCTCTTGGGGGATGTCTGACTGCCAGTTTAGTCGGACATCTGGCAGTTGCACATCCCTCTCACAATTCGGGACTACTGGCTCCCAACCGCTCGCCTGCCTACCTGATTGCCCGTAATCACTCTGCCTGCTAGCCTGGTCACCCCCTAACCACTCCCCTGCCACCCTGATTGATGCCTAACTGCTCCCCTGCTGCCCAAACTACTCTCCCCTGCATGCCTGGTCGCCTTCAACTGCCCTCCCCTTCTGGCTTGGTCCCCCCTAATTGCCCTCCCCTGCAGGCCTGGGCACCCCCCCACCAACTGCCCTCCCCTGCAAGCCTGGTCGCCCTCACTGCTCTCCCCTGCAGGCCCGGTCACTCTCACTGCTCTCCCCTGCTGGCCATCTTTGACCACATGGGGCAGCCATCTTGTGCAAGGGCATAATGGTCAATTTGCATATTATCTCTTTATTATATAGGATTTTTTATCATCTAGAAAAGTTATTTTCTTGCTTATGAAAACAAAGCTCTGTAAGACTAAAAAGTTGACTGATAAATGGTTTTTTTTTAAATGAAAGTTTTAGCACTTAAAGGAATAAATATAAATTATATAGGAAATTAAGTTATTAGGTATCCCTCATTTCCCTGTGATGTTAAATGAAGAATTAATGTTACTGTATTTGAAAATATAATGAATATTTATGTAATAGCTTGTTATAGTTTTAGATAGTTATTAATAAATTTTATGTTTAAGATTTTGTAATTCGTAAGAACTGGATGCTCTAAACTTTTTCTCCTTAATTAACTAGATGCTGTACACTTATCAACATTGAAAACACTAAGGTAAACTTAGTGTCTTCATATTATCTCTTATATTGAAAAATAGAGGCCCAGTGCATGAATTCATGCACCGGGGTGGGGTCCCTCAGCCTGGCCTGCAGGATCGGGCTATCGGCTCTCCAATATCTCCCAAGGGGTCCCGGATTGTGAGAGGCTGCAGGCCAGGCTGAGGGACCCCACCAGTGCACAATCAGGGCTGGGGAGGGATGAGGGAGGTTGGCCAGCGGAGGGACCACGGGAGGGCTCCAGGGTGTATCCAGCTCCTCTCACTCAGTCCCGATTGGCCAGTCCCCAGCAACAAGCTAACCTACCAGTCGGAGTGTCTGCCCCCTGCTGATCAGTGCATGTCATAGTGACTGGTCAACTATCTGCCCCCTGGTGGTCAGTGCACATCACAGCAAGTGATTGAGTAGCCTTAGCATATCATTAGCATATTATGCTTTGATTGGTTGAACGGATGACCAGACAACCGAACACTTAGCATATTACGCTTTTATTATATAGAATAATATTCCCTAACTAGAGGCCCGGTGCATGAATTCGTGCACAGGTGGAATCCCTTGGCCTGGCTGGTGATTGGGGCCATGGGGGTGGGGAGGAGGGGCATCAGCTGGCCGGGGAGGACTGCGGGAGGTTAGCCTGCCGCTACCCCTGATCAGAGCCCTGAGGGAGGGGCCACGGGAGGTTGGCTGTGGGAGCGCACTGACCTCCAGAGGGCAGCTCCTGCATTGAGCATCTGCCCCCTGGTGGTCAATGTGCATCATAGTAACTGGTTGACCAGTTGTTCCATTCATAATGCTCGCTTAGGCTCTTATCCTATATAATAAAAGAGAAACATGTAAATTGACCATCCCTCTGCTATGCTCACCAGCCAATCAGGAGTATGCATGCAAATTAACCTGACAAAGATGGTGGTTAATTTGCATACACAGGTGCTGGGTGGAGAGCAGAATGGGAGAGCCAGCGGAGAGTGGAGCGGCTTGGGGAAATTGGCTCCCCAAGCCGCCAGAGGGAGAGCAGAGAGGGAGAGCTGGCGGCTTGTTCAAACAGTCCGGATCCGGCCCGCGGGCCGTAGTTTGCCCACGGCTGTCCTGGACACTAGCAGCGGTTCTCAACCTGTGGGTTGCGAACAATGAAAATACATCCTGCATATCAGATATTTACATTATGATTCATAACAGTAGCAAAATTACAGTTATGAAGTAGCAACGAAAATAATTTTATGGTTGGGGGGCACCACAACATGAGGAACTGTATTAAAGGGTTGCGGCATTAGGAAGGTTGAGAACCACTGCAGAGCAAAGTGAGCCTGGAGCAAGTTACTGTTGCGGTGGGGGATGGAGAGAAAGCAAAGGTCAGAGACATAAGTAAAATCAGAGTATCTAGGAAAAATTAAAGGGAAGATATCCTAAAACTTTCAGGAAATCTCCACCAATGAAGCAAAGGAAAAAAATATGCCTCTATTATTCTGTGAGCAGCAAACCAAACTGAGTTGGGGTCTCAGACAATTCGCTCATATGATTGCACAGACAGACAGAAACTCCCGGATTGGAGAGGGCTCTCCTGAGGGCTCCCGATTGGAGAGGGTGCAGGTCAGGCTGAGGAACCCCCACACTCCCCAGTGCACGAATGTCATGCACCGGGCCTCTAGTATATATAAATAATATAGCAGAATCTGAAGTGTATAGTCTATGCCCAGAAACATTCCTCTAATAACTGAATTGTTTTGAGCTTGGTCTAGAAGTCAAAATTCCTGAATTGAAAGGTGTCTTGTTCCTTTTCTATTTATTGTCTTCCAAAATAAAAAGGCCCAATAAATAGCAAGACTGCTCACTTAGGCCTTGTGCTCTAATTTCAGATCTAATCACTGGTTCAAGTCAACCCCCCTGCAATTAATTACTAATATACTGATGGCATGGAAACCACAAACAATCCCCAAGAGAGGAGCTATGAAGTAAGCTGGAAATATGAGAGATAGTTCAGAGAAACTCATTTTTTCAAACTTTAACCTATTTAAGACCATTTTAGGAACTGTGACCCAAACAGGTTGTTGAGATGCTGTATCATAACATGTGACATAGTCACTAGGGAAATGCAAATCAAAATCATAATGCAGTATCACTTCACACCTACACGGATGGCTAAAATAATAATTTCAAAAAGAGAAAATAATAAGTATAGGTGAGAATATAGTGAAGTTGCAACCCTCCTACATTGCTGGTGGGAATGTAAAATGATGCAGCCACTGTGGAAAAATTTGGTGGTTCTTCAAAAAGTTAAACATATAGTTATCAAATGACCCAGCAAGTCCACTCCTTGGTATATTTCAAAAGAAGTAAAAACATAGACTCAGCCTAACTGGTTTGGTTCAGTGGATAGAGCATCGGCCTGCGGACTGAAAGGTCCCAGGTTCGATTCCGGTCAGGGGCATGTACCTTGGTTGCCAGCACATCCCTAGTAAGGGGTGTGCAGGAGGCAGCTGATCGATGTTTCTCTCTCAACAATGTTTCTAACTCTCTATCTCTCCCCTTTCCTCTCTGTAAAAAATCAATAAAAATATATTTAAAAAAACATGGACTCAGACGCTTGTATGACAATATTCTTTGCAGCATTATGAAAAAATAACATGACATACCTTCTTCTTTGCTGGGTGCCCTCTGAGGGTGGGTGCTGCTTGGTTCTTCGTCTTCTTGGTATTTCTGAGTAAGTCTGACAAAAAGAGCTCTCTGCACTGCAGGGAGGAGGCCTGGTGCAGGCAGGGGGTCATGGCCTGTCATGCTGCTGCTGCCATCACACCCACTCCCACGGTTAGGTGAGTCTTGAACAATGGGAGGCTGATGCTGAGCAAACTCATCATGCCACATCCCATCTGCACATAATAAAGAAACAGACACTGATTCAGGCACAGTATTCCACGAGAGAGTACCACTGTGAGTTATAAGAAATTGAAGCCCTACTAATAATCACATTTGATTAGAAAATTATTATGTGATTGTAAATATTTTTAGAAGTTATCTAAAGTTCTATTGTTAAAAATGTTTGGTTAAACTTGAAGCCTTCCCTGGTATTGCGTGGTGGTTAGAGCATGGGTCCATGATCTGAAGGGTCTCGGGTTTCATTATTGGTCAAGGGCATGTGCGTGGGTTGCAGGTTTGATCCTGACCCTGGTTGGAAGACAACCAATCAATGTGTCTCTCTCACATTGATGTTTTTCTCTTTCTACCTCCCATTCTCTTTTCCACTCTCTAAAAATCAGTGGAAAAAATATCTTCGGGTGGGAATTAACAAAAGAAAGTTAAAACATATTTAAGGTCTCAATTTCATCACATTTTACTTAGACTTATTTGTTTTCATGTAGCTTTATTTAAAACATACTTCTTATCCTTTTAACGAAAGATAGGACTCTAAATATTTAGCTTGATTCTGAAAGGTACACTTACCACTAGAGTTACTGGGTGGCTGAAAATTAGGTGCACCATGCTGAGAATAGTAATTCTCATAAAACTCAGCGGGGTTTTGTAGGGAGTCGTAACTGGTGCTGAGCTGCATTTCACCAGAACCTTGCAGGTGCGATGAGCCTGGAGAACCATGATTCTCTCTGGGTACTTTCATCATGTGTTCTGGAAAGCCCGGACAATGGTAAGCACCACTCATACTTGGTACTGACAAAGGTGCATCTGGTTGAACAATTACTCCAGCTCCATGTGGACCGGGTGGCAAAGGTGGGCTCTGTGGCACTGGTAGGCCAGGAGGTCCTGCACATGGATGATGTCTAGGGGAGCCTGAGTGCATCACAGGAATACTGTGTCCCTGAGACATATTAGGTTCGGGACCTGGACTTGACCCAGAACTGTAGATATGCTGAGGATGTGGGCTGCTTTCCTGATATTGTGGTCCTGGTGGCGAGTCACTGCTATAAAATGCTGGTGGTCTGTAGACAGAAAGAATAATATTTCTTAGTTCAAAGAAAAGAGGCAAACAAGAATGTCACATTTTTAAATGGTTACATGTGTTTTCTAAGAAGGCATTTATTTCATATTACCTATAGAACTGGAAGGACCAACATGTACATCCTGCTGTGTTTTAGCCCATAGTTTTCTAAGTTGCTGCTTATTAACTATTGTTCTAAAATCGTATTCATTACTGCTTTTGAAAAATGCAGAAAGTACAAAGATAAATAAGAAACACCCCTAATCCCATCACCCAGAGATAAATGTTTTGACTGGGTCTCTTCTAGTCCTCATCGCTGTGAGGAGGTTCTGAAGCTGGCTCAGGATTCTATAGAGAAAGCCAAGAGGCGGCAGCAGAGGACAGGCAGGAGGATGTGGGAAGAAGCAATCAGGTGTGTGCTAGACAGCTGCTATCTCTACCTGATCTTACGCGCACGATTAACATGGACACAAGTTAGTTTCTTAATAAGTATTTCTAGGGAGAAAATGCCACCATTTTTGAAAATGTTAACTTACTTCTTCCCAATCTTATGTGCTAAGTCCACAGTAGGTTTTACAACTATTTCAAAAAGAGATGGGATTTTCTTGAAATCATCAGAGAGATCTGTCTGAAAGTCATCTTCAGGATCAGAAAAGGGAAAGTGCTCTGCTGGGGTTGGCAGGAGCCCCACTCCTGGAGGTGGTTTGGGAAGAGGGGTTATGCCGCGCTTCCTAAGTTCCTCTAACTCTCTTTCATCCTCATTTGTGGGGTCCTCTTCAGTGTTCAACACCTGAAAATAATTGGCAAAGATTACCACATAAAAACAAACTATCTTCCTCACGTTTAACATTGTGAAGAGTTCAGTAAATTAGTTCTATTAATAGGAAAATATAACATTAAGCTGCATGGGTCACACACAAACTCATTTTCATAAAGAGAATGAAATTCAAAGAGGTAAAGGATATTTCTCAAAGTAAACTAGGTTTTTAACAGCAAAACAAGGATGAGAATAAAAGATTCTTAATTCCTAGCCCAATATTCTGCTTTTCTAAAACACTGTATTAATGAAACATGAAATAACAAATCCCTGACTTATGAGCAGTTTTATAAAACACGATTCAAGTCAAATGAATCTGTAGAGAGACTTAACAATCAAGGAACAAAAACATTACTTACTTTGTCCAAAAGTTTCCTCGTTTCCTTTGTCAAATCATCATGTGAAAATTTACACTTGTCTCCTTGGTAACATTTTGCTCCACTATGATAGAACTTGCATGGAAATTCATGTAAATAAAAATATTAAGGAACAGACCAAATAAAATAAAATTCTAATATTTTTAAGCCAAAAAACATAACTGTGCTGAATCAGTAAGACTCCATAATTATATACAGTGGGGCCTTGACTTACGAGTGTCCCGACTAATGAGTTTTTTGAGATACCAGCTATCTCTTGGCTGATTTTTTGCATTGAGTTGACAGAGTAATTTGAGTTAACGAGCTCCTTAATGAGCTCGGTCTCGGAACAAATTAAACTTGTAAGTCAAGGCCCCACTGTATTATACTGAATTTTCTATAATCACATCAGATAATTTAAGATGAAATATTTTAGTTATGCTGCAAAATATTCAAAAAATTTAAAATCTCTCTTACTTTATTAAAACTAGAAAACAAATTTAAAAGAAATATAATGGTTATAGTATTTATAATGTTTATGCAAGTCCTGTTACTTTCCACAATAAAGTATTATGCAGAACAAATACATTTTATAGCAAGAACTCATACCTATGAAGAATAACAGGCTTGATATGTCATGTTAAAGTTAACCCAACAATGAGAGCTACAGACTAGTCTGACTTAAAGGGTAGTCACCTAAGGTTTTGGAGACAAAATTCTAAAAAAAATATTAACTCTAGAAGTATGGTGAAAATATATATCATTTTCACATGGCATATGTTCAGAGAGAACTCCTGGATGGTTTTAGGAAATTTATTACTATAATCATCACACTGATAAGTTCAAAAGAAAAAATTACACGATTATCTTAGCAAGTGCAAATGGCGACTAATACAATTCAAAGTCCTCATTTGATTTAAAAAAATCTTAGTAAAGTAAGAATATACTTAACTTGATTTTTAAAAATATCTATCTTAAAACCATAGCCACAAGCTAAAGCAAAAGGACATTATCATTAAAATTGTGTACTATGTCTGCCATAATCATCACTATTTAACATTATTCTGGACATGTATCCAATACAATTAAAACAGGAGATATAAATTATCATATTTACAGATGGTATGACTGTGGGGAAAACTGTAAGGATAGACTGAAAGCATTTAGAAACAGAGTAATAAGGTGTCTGGTTTTTAAAGAAATATGTCAGATCTGAAAAAATGTTTTCTTTTTTTAAAAAATATTTTTATTGAAGGAAGAGGGAGAGGGAGAGAGAGAGAGGGAGAGAGAGAGAGAGAGAGAGAGAGAGAGGGGGAAACATCAATGATGAGAGAGAATCACTGACTGAGTACCCCTGCACACACTGTACTGAGGATTGAGCCTGCAACCCAGGCATGTACCCTGACGGAGAATCGAACCAGCAGCCTCTTGGTTCCTGGGTTGATGCTCAACCATTGAGCCACCTGGCCAGGCTGTTTTCTTTTTCTTGAATAAAACATATTTATTAGAACATTTTAATCAGGAAAGGAAGATTGCTTGCCCTACTAATTATTAACCATACTCTTATAGAGGGGACTGGTCAATTAGTAGTATAGAAGCTGAACTGTGCATACAGGGAAATTTAGGCTCTGGTAAAGGTGCCATTTTAATTCACTGAAGATGAGACAATGAGTTAACCATTTGGAAAAAATTAGGTCCTTAATGCACATCATATATCAAAATAGAATCCTTATGAAGTAAATGTTAAAGATACAACCTTCACAATCATAGCTCGATCACATTTTTAGAAAAATTATGTTTAAATGTATACATCCATCCATTCACAAATGCATACATCTAGTTGTAGAAAAAAAATCCAAAAGACTTTATGCCATATTGTTAGCATAATTATTCCTGAAGAATGAGATTATTTGGAATTTTTTAAAAAGTTAACCTGAAAATTATCAAACATATACCAAAGGAAAGCAAATAATACAATTAGCTCGCTCAGACTGCCCGTGTAAGTTCATCACCTGGCAATTTTGTGAGATCTATGCCACACCCCCCCATACTCTCCTCAGACCTCTCCATCAAAAAACACTGGAGTATCCAAAGCATATTCCAAACACATTCAATCTGTGGATATTTCCATGTTTATTTCAAACAGATAAGGAATATTTTTCTAATAATCACAACCCATCATTAATATGAAAAATACTTTAATTTTATCTACTACCCTGTCAATATACAAATATTTTAGACTGTTTCAAAAAAAGCTCTTTTTATAATTGCTTTGTTTAGATTAAGATCCAAACGTGGTCCACAAATTGCATCTGGTTAACATATATCTCAAGTTCTTTAATTGATCTATCGCAGTTCCCCTCCCTTTTTATTTTTATACTAGAGGCCCGGTGCATGAAATTCATGCACTGGGTAGGGGGTGGGGGGTCCCTCAGCCCAGCCTGATGCCTTTCACAGTCCGGGAGCCCTCAGGGGTGGGAGGTGACCCAGCGATCAGGGGAAGGCTACGCCCCCATCACAACTCTGCTGTTGCCACTGCTGGCAGTGCAAGCCTCGGCCGGCCCTGGTTACCTGTGCTGCGGGCTGGCCCTGGGCAGCTGGGCAGCCACCATCTGAGGCTTGCTTGTGCCTCGGGCCGGCCCTGAGTGGCGGGGTTGAGGGGACTGGGCACCGTCATCTTTGAGGGCGTGGCAGTCAATTAGCATATTCCCTCCTTATTGGCTGTGGGTGCCACCATCTTTGAGGGCGTGGGAGTCAATTAACATATTCCCTCCTTATTGGCTGTGGGCACTGCCATCTTTGCGATGGTGTGAGGGTCAATTAGCATATTTCCTCTTTATTAGATAGGATCATTTATTTGTTAATTTTAACATTTGTCATTGATGTTAAAATAAATACTCCAGATTGCATCAAGAGGCATTTGATGCCCAGCTGTTTCTTTTTTTTTTTAATATATATTTTATTGATTTTTTACAGAGAGGAAGGGAGAGAGATAGAGAGTTAGGAACATCGATGAGAGAGAAACATCAACCAGCTGCCTCCTGCACATCTCCCACTGGGGATGTGCCCGCAACCCAGGTACATGCCCCTGACTGGAATCGAACCTGGGACCTTTCAGTCCACAGGCCGACGCTCTATCCACTGAGCCAAACCAGTTCCGGCCCCAGCTGTTTCTTTTTAATGTTAAGGCTGATGGGTTGGAGCAGGTGTTGTCAGTCCCATTCATCAATTACAAAATTTCTCATCAACTTTTCATCTAATGGTTTTAATAGCCATCAGTAATTACTGCCCAAATCTATTAATTCACCAAAATATGCAAAATGGTAGGATCTATGTCAGAGGGTGAAGTCGTTTGTAATTGTGCCAACACAGCCCTGCTCTTCTCCACAAGGGTGGCCCCATTTTGAATTCCTGCCAACAAAGTCTGAGGATGTCTATTGTATCACAGCCTTGCTAACAATCTTTGCTGTCCCCTTTTTTGGGGGGGGTGGGGGGGAGGATTTTTGCAAATCTGGTAACTGCAAATGGTATCTTGGGCAGAGATAAATTGCATTTCTCTTATTATGAACTAGAGGTCCAGTGCATGAAATTCGTGCACAGGTATGGTCCTTAGTGGCTGCTGGCTGCCGGCTGGGGCCTCCCTTCTTTCTACGCCCCCCCTGGTGGTTAGCACATGTCACAACGAGTGATCCAACTCCCAGTTTCCCAGTCAAACTCCTGAGGGGACACTTTGCATATTAGCCTTTTATATAGATAGGTTTGAGCATCTTTTCATGTTTTGGATCATTTGCATTTCTCTCTATGAATTATCTGTATGTCTTATCCCATTTTTCTTCTCAATTTTTAGAAGCTCATATATCAAACTTTTGTGATATAAGATGCAAACAACTTTTCCCATTTTATTATTTATCTTTTACTTTGCTTATGTCAGATATTTGTATGTAAAATTAAAAATTTTTATACTGTCCATTTTTCAGTCTTTTTTCTCATTGCTTCTGGATTTTAAGTCATACTTCTGTTCTGGAGTATAAAGGAACCCATCCACACACTCCTCTGGTATTTGTATGGCTTTATCTTTACATTTAGATCAATGATATCAGGAATTTTTTACTTTCTTCTTTTACATTATTTTTGTACTAGACAAGACTATTTTAAATTGTATCTGGAAAAATAAACATGAGAATCTACCAAATATCAAGTGTACTGGTGAGGCGGAAATAATCTCATCAAAGCAGCAGAGATAGGAAGACGAACAGACCATGGGGCCAAATAGAAACTCTAGAACAAAACCATACACATAACATTTCATCATAATAAAGATGGAGTTTCAGTTTGAGGGAGAAAGGCTCCATTAGTCATCAAAGGCAGTGAAAAACCAGCTTCTCTCTCTCTTGCACTCTCTCTCTCTCTCTGTACACACACACACACACACGCACACACACACATATATTTTAAGGAACTATAAACATATAGTGAAATACCAATTTGAATGGGGGCAGGTGTACAATTTAGATGTATAGATTTCTAAAGAAAGAACTGAGGAAGAATATACAGTGATAATTAGGGGTAAGATTTGATGAGACTGATTTTATAATGTTTTACAATGATAATTTATTACTTATGAACCTAAGTAAAAATAATAAAGTCATAACATAAATACAGGGTATCCCCTAAAATGTAGACACATACTTTGAATAATTATAAAGACAGTATTTATTAAAATACATTTCATTTTCAAAATTGAGCTATCAGCTGTTAAAGCATGTATACATTTTTTAGGGACACTCTGTATTTTGCCAACTCTTTCAGGAACCCATGCTATTGAAATACATATAAGTGTATATTAAATACAAAGTACCTTTATTTCACAGACTTTTCTCCACAGGGATGTTACTTATTTCATTTCCCGAAAGCAAAAAACTCAGCTTCCCCTTCTAAAGTACAAAGGCTGACTAGACTTAGTTTGTGTAATGTGTTGTTTTAAATTTAAAATCAAACTAGGCTTTCTAGGTTGTACTTAGGATTTTTCAAATCCTCAATGATTTTTTCAAACCTCAATATTTTGGTTAACATATTTTCAGTAAAGGATATTATGCATGTAAATGCAGTTCTCCCCTTTCGTACAATATCCTTGTAAATAAAATCTGCAGATCTCTTTCCTCTTCTCCAACTCTGCATCATGATCAAATTTACATTGATCTCCCTGTTCCAAAAAGAAATGAAAGGAGGAAACAAAGAGAAAAAAAGAAACAACTGAATTGAATTTTCTCCATGGCATTTCACAGCGGAACTATGGTTATATCTTCAGTCTTTAAATAATGAGCTAATAATCCAAACAATTCCTTAAGAGTTTTTGCCCAAGATGGTGGGTGTGGCTACTAGTATGTGCAAAGGCAGCACAGTGCAGGCTCAGGGGCATCTGCCCACTCACCATGTCTAGCTGAGCTACTATGGGGACTAATTTAACCATCTGGTGTAGCCGTGTTTACAATGGGTCAGAAATAGTAACCACTTTCTAGGGTTGCTATAAACATTCAAACATTTAATATTAGTAATCCACTTTGAACAGGACTTGCCACACAATCAGCAGTGTGTTTATTAAATAAAATATAATTTCAACAAATTACACCAATATCCCAAAATATAATTAAATGAGTTCTGATGTATAGTATTTCCATTAGATACATTGTGAAGAACCAGTTTTATTACAACTAAATGAGAAATGAAAAAAAACAATCACCCCCAAAAGGTTTAAATTTTAAAGAGCATTTTGGAAGTGAAACAATTTATGATACCCCTCTGAATTTACCTTAATACATCTCCCTTCCAGAAAGTATTTACAGATTTGTTTTCCTTTGTGTTCCACTGTGTGCTGATTAATAAATTCCTGAGTCATCACCTTCCATTTTTTCCCTGGTTTATTATACTGCAAGAAAATTTTTTTATTTAAGTACAACATATATTAAATAGGTATTAAAATGTACAGTCAAATGAATCTGGAAAGCAGTTCAAATTCATTATTAAAAATGGGCAAGATGGGACATTCTGAGGTTACTCATTTATTTGGAGAGAGATATGCTTCTAGTGAACAGCATATGCTACTAGTGGTTGCAAAGAACTCTATTTCTATTTTAAGGAGAATGTATAACTACATTTTAAAGCATAAAATTATGAAAAGCTTGAAAATTAACAATAATACTCCATTTTGGCAAAGAAACAATATAGTGTTGATAGGTATGTTATAAAAGACTTAAAATTTCCATATTGTTTGACACAGAATTTGTACTTTATAGGATTATTCTAAAGGAATTATCAGGAAGGCACACAAAGATTTATTCATAAATATAACAATGGCAGAATTACTTACATAGTAAAAAACAAAAACAAAAAAACCCACCACACCAAACAAACAAAAACCCTAGAAACATTTTACACATCCAAAATGAATCCCAATTTTATAATAAAAATAAAAAACAAAAAAATATACCCACATTGAATAGTGTATGTCTCTAGATGATTCTCTTAAAAATTAGATTATTTTGGCCGAAACTGGTTTGGCTCAGTGGATAGAGCGTCGGCCTGCGGACTGAAGAGTCCCAGGTTTGATTCCGGTCAAGGGCATGTACCTGGGTTGCGGGCACATCCCCAGTAGGAGATGTGCAAGAGGCAGCTGATCGATGTTTCTCTCTCATCAATGTTTCTAACTCTCTATCTCTCTCCCTTCCTCTCTGTAAAAAATCAATAAAATATATTTTAAAAAATAGATTATTTTGTACTTTCTTTAGAGAAAAAAAATCCTCAGTGAGGATGTATTACCTTTAATTTATAAATTTTAAAAAATTAAGGAAAAAAGTGTATGATGGCAAATCCCACAGCCCTATGTTTTCCTTTGTTCTCCTCAGGTGCCAACTTGACTTCTGTGAGTATAGGAAGACTGAGTCACGACAGGGGATGGGGCTTGGCCGTGCTAAGGACTGCCATTCACGTGGCCATGAAGCAGCACTGTTCACTGAGCGCCCATGTGTGTGCCTGGCGCACCGTAGAAGTGCAGTGACTATTTGCTCTCCTGATATGATTCCAGTTTCCCTTTTCCCTCAATTTACTAGAAGACAGAGAACAATATTGCACAATCTACTGAAATAGGAAATTGTCTCAAAGCAAACACTTTGAGCAACAGATGGTCAGATTTACACCTGATCCTCAATGCTCAGAGCAGAAGTATCCATTTTACTGTAAGAATTCTTTTAAAAAGCACAATACCAAGAAAACATAATCCTTGAGGTTCTTTTTAAAAATATAAGTATACCTAAATTGCCCCAGGAGAGAATAAAATTGTGTATACTTTACTCTTACATATCACTGAAAATATCTTAAATCTATGTAAATTTGACTTACAAACATTTTCTATTTCTGGTTCACTTAAAAAAAGTAGATATAAATGACCAGCTCACATATCCCATCTGTATAAAGAATCGTGGCTATAATGAAATAGACAGCTGAAGAGAATTCATTATGCAAAGCCAGTGAGCCAACCTGAGAAATATACTCTGAAATTAAACAGTAAAAATACCTAGTGATTATCATCAAAGAACTCCCTAAAAATGCACCAAGTAGTACTTAGGCTTTATTAATTTAATACTGCATGTACTCTCATTTTGTCTCTTTCTGTCAGTCTATGTTACTTTCTAATGATATGCCTCGGTGTTTTAATAGAGGATTGTAGTTTTTGTTTTGTTTTCCAGTTTAGTTCTGCTTAAATGAGTAGAATATATCTCAGTATACATAACTATGAGAACTCTAACTATAATCAAGGTATTCTAGAAAACCTAAGCAACTTTAACAAATACAATTTTAGAACAAAATAAAGTTCCCAGAAGATCTGATCTATTAAGTTTGAGCCTACAGAAGGACCACAAATGTCCTCTTATTAAGTAAAAGCTGAAAGGACGGCAGAAGTCACCGGTTTATCACCTTCACTGGACAGATAATGACAACTGCAGATTAGAGAAGTTAGTGATTTACCAAAAGTCACATGGCACATTAGCAGCTCTGCAGTAACTTATACATCTCTTAAGAAAACACAAACTCAAGAAAGAGGGAGAGAAGGGAAAGGTGAAGGGAGAGAAGAAAACCCAACCCACTACTGGGTCTTCTAAATTTACTCTAAAGCATGTATTATATTGGTACAATGAACAAAAGCATAAAAGATTTTTAAAAGTATATAAGGAAGGGGAAATGGAAGGATCTACCAGGAAAAGAACACATATTTATAGAAAATTTAATAGCTACCATAAAGACTAAACAATTTTAAGAATTTTATGGCCAACAGAATAAATAGTAAGTCTTTAAAATCCAGGAAAAGTTTGCGTGTTCTGTACCCTTGAGTTTGCAAGGAATTAGTGTAGATGTGCAGGTATTCCCGAACTTATCTGGCCTCTGGGGCTCTTATACTTCCTCAAAAGACTAGGATGGAAGTGGATCTATGCCAGCCACTCGGCATGTCCACCCAACCCTGCATGGGTCTGAACATAAGCACTCTCACCCTTGTTTCCAAGATCACAAAAAGAAATCTCTCATGACAACCAATAAATGGACAGTTGATGACATATTTTAATCTCGATAAACAAAAAAATAGTCTAAATCTAATGACTGAAAAAGAATTTATTGTGATTTTCTATTACATGACAAAGCATCTTTTAGTTGTAGGCCAGATCTGTAAACATCTAAAATGTTAGCTTGAAGGGGCCCTTACAGTTAATACTGTATGTATTCTCATTTTAGCAAACTGAAGCTCACAGAGACAGGCAGAAACTTGCTCGAAGCCATGCTTTCCTGGAAGTTATTTTCCCCCAGGTATAGGGTAGGTAATGCATGTAAAAGAAGGCTTACTTAGAAAGTATTCATACTAATTTGGTCTAGGGAGTGCAGCACATTCTGGAGGTCAACTGGTATAGAAGATGGACAGGCAGGTTAGAATCATCCAAAAAGATTTTTAACAGTCTATAATGTTCAAAGTTACTATTCCACAGAACATGAACAGGCTTATTTGTGCCTAACCTGCGCAGAGCCCTTAATATGTCAATGATGACTGAGAATCCTAAGGGAAGAGTGGTATGTGCAGAGTTTCACAAATTTATCTGGGCCTCAACTTCCTTTTTTAGGCCACACTTACTAACATTTCCCTAAGTAGTACCTTAAGGAGTACATATTAAGAAATCTTTACCCATTATCTTTAAGCCCAGAGATCAGAAAACCAAGCATTTTAAATTACAATAGATTGCTATCCCCTTGCTCTCAACTAAGGTTGCGGCTTTATAACCCACCCTTATCTGTGAATTCAGTCAGACCTCACTGGATCTGTGGGCAGAATACAGACTACAGAAAGTAGCTACACAGTTGAAATGTACACATCTGAGTTCAAGTTAACATATATTTATTTGCTATCTACCATATGGGTAGTTCATAAATTCATCTTTCCAACCATTTATATTTCCTTTTCTTCTCTTTTAATGCTTTCAACTTCAGTTAGCTAATTTACTACTGTCTCTCTTCTTGGCCTGCTACATATTGAGCTATTACCATTTTACCATCTGCATCTGGCGAAGACAACTCCTAGGAAAGGAAAGCCCAACAGAGAACTAACAGAACATGTTTTTGCTTTCCAAATATATCACTGTTATTTTGAACTGCTTGCAAACATATCAGTATTATTTCAAAGTCACCTAAATTTGCATCTCTATATTATAATCATGACTAATTAAAAAACAATTACTTTTTGGAATTTATTTATATTAATTTGATCTGAACTAAGAATGATTCATTTTACTAGAAAAGTAGCATTAAAATCGAATGCCTTATTTGTAGCCAAATAGGTTAAATGATGGAGAAGCTAATCTCCTCATTATGTATAAACTCAGTACCTCTTGAAAGTCATCCATTCCTGAAAACATACTGGGCCCTTTGCTGACTCTTCCCCCACGGTCTTTGCGTTTGATTTTCTTCAGCAAACCTCGTCCACGACCAACATTAAAACTTTTAAGCCTCTGTTCAGTACCTAAAAAAGTTAAAATGTACTTCAAATACTATAGAAAAACAGTACACCTGTCAATATATTAGTTTATTGGAAACAGCTGTTGGGTGTTTTTTTTTGGTTAATCCTCACCTGAGGATAATTTTTTTCTAGTGCTTTTAGAAAGAGTGGTAGGAAAGGAAGAAAGGAGGGAGGGAGGGAAGGTGGGAGAGGGAGAGAGAGGGAGAGAGAGGGAGAGAGAGAGAGAGAGAGAGAGATCAACTGACACATCCCTTGGTTGCCTCCAGCACGTACCCTGGTCAGGGCACGAGATCGAACCTGCAACCCAGATACCTGCCCTTGACCGGGAATCAAACCCAAGACCCTTCAGTGTGTGGCTGATGCTCTAACCACTAAGCACACCAGCCAGGGCAACACCTTATTTTTTAACAGTCTATAATGTACAGTGCATCTTTCTCCTCTAAATTCAATGAAAAAAATTATTTCAATCTTTACATGTTAAAACTTTCTGGGCATTGCTTCTTACACTTTTGTTTTTTTATTTTTATTTATTTTTATTTTATTTTTTAAATTTTTTTTTAAAAATATATTTTATTGATTTCTTACAGAGAGGAAGGGAGAGAGATAGAGTTAGAAACATCGATGAGAGAGAGACATCGATCAGCTGCCTCCTGCACATCCCCCACTGGGGATGTGCCCGCAACCCAGGTACATGCCCTTGACCGGAATCGAACCTGGGACCTTTCAGTCCACAGGCTGACGCTCTATCCACTGAGCCAAACCGGTTTCGGCTACACTTTTGTTTTTTAATCCTCACCCAAGAATATGTTTTCATTGATTTTTTAGACAGAAAGGAAGAGAGAGAAACTTCGATGTGAGAAACATTGGTCAGTTGCCTCCCATACAGGTCCTGACCTGTATGGGATTGAACCCCAACCTTTTTTTATACAGGATGATGCTCCAACAAACTGAACCACCACGCCAGGGCTCTTTTGTTTCTTAAGGGATGTTAACAACAATAAGGAAGACAAGGAACAAGGATGTACATGGATGGAGAAGTCAAATCCAGCTTCATTCTTTTCAATTTTCTTTAGAAAAAGCAATTAACAAGGCTTTCAGTTTTTCAGAGAATTAAATATTATATTCATCTCTATGGAAGACACTGTAGGTATTAGTGGTTAATTTATAGTGAACTGAGTTTCTATTGATAATTTTGAGTACATAGCACATATATTTCCAAGTAAAACTTATATCTGTCTTTTACTTTTAAAAAAATATATTTTTTTATTGATTTCAGAGAGGAAGGGAGAGGAAGAGAGAGATAGAAACATCAATGATAAGAGAGAATCACTGAGTGATGACCTCCTACACACCCCACACTAGGGATTGAGCCCACAACCTGGACATATGCCCTGACCTGGATTCGAATTGTGACCTCCTGGTTCATAGGTTGACACTCAACCACTGAGCCACGCTAGCTGGGCGACTTGTCTTTTACTTTTGAAAAACTTGCTATTTAAAAGCATCTAAAAAGATAGCCAAATAAAAGTATTTATTAGGGTAGGAAGTTAAAATACAAAATGATTTCTTATTTTACCAGTCATATTGAACTAATACATTTTCTAATGACCTTAAACCTCCAAAATAGCCAATAAATATGCAAATAAAAAGTTTTATCTCATTAAAAGAAATTAAAATTAAAAAAATAACATACCAATTTTCACCTCATACTGTGTGTAGGGACGTGGAGAGTTTGGCATTTCCACACACTAGCAGGGATCATCACTTTTTTAAACAGGCACATCACTTTTTTGGATATCACCTTGCTATATGAATCAAAAATCTTCAAATGTGTGGCTATGTCTTTTGACTCAATTCTACATTTTAGAATTTATCCTAAGAAATACGTTTGCCAAGGTGTTTTCTGATATATGTATAAATATGCAAGATTAATCACAGAATTTAAAAAACTGGGTGCAACTTAAATCTCAAACAATTACATCAAACAAACATAACAATTTGTTAGACAAATTATGGTATATTTACTTTTACTAGAATGCAGGCATTTAAAGCTACTTATTAACATTAGAAGTTAAGGGGGGGTGGGGAATAAATTACCACAGTATAAATAGTTTTTGTTAAAAATAATTGTCAGAAAAATTCTAAAAGAATGTATAGTACATCAAAAATGTTCAAGTAATTATCTCTGGAAGTAGGGATTAAAATTATTTTATCTTTGATCTTTGCTGGATTATCTTGTCTACATATAGGAAAAGTTTTCTGCATTTGGCCATATATTCCTTCCATAATCCAGGAGAAAACAAATGTCAAAAATAAATGTATCACTCAGTTCATTAACAGCACAAACAGAAAGCGCCTGATGGAAAACCTCAACGGGAAGAGATGAAGAAGCCTCCACATTCGGGTATTCCCATGTGGAGTTATCTCCACACCACTGTTTGACTATAATTACAGTAGCAGATGCATAGTCAAATTTCTTTTCCTTAGTTCAGCAAAGTCTAGTTTCATATTTTTCAATTAAATTTTGCTAAGAAATAAAAAAGCCATAGAAATAACCAAATTTACTTGTCACTAACTGCTTTTCTCAACAACAATTAAAGGATAGATTCATAGAGTTTGGGTGCCCACTGTTTAACCTCAGCCTCATCTTGCTCCAGTTTTCTTGAGTCGAGCACATTGACTGAACCTTTCTTAAGCTTGCTTCGACCTTTATGGGGCCCACCATGTCTTTCTATGGTAACTTGCCCTGACCTTCCCAGGGACCATGTGTCTCAATATAGCAGATGAATAGGTGATGACTATAGAAATTTCTTTAGATTAGGTTATTTCCAATCTTGATATATGTCCATAGTCCTAAGAACACATGCATAGCAAAGGTAACCACATTTTAAAGCCTAACAAAAGAATAGCTTCCCAGCCCTAGCCAGTTTGGCTCTGTGGTTAAGCATAGGATCGTGGGTTCAATTCCAGTCAAGGGCACATACCTCATTTGCAGGTTCAATTCCTGGCCTGGTTGGGGTGCACTCGGGAGGCAAGCAATGGATGTGTCTCTCTCACATTGATGTTTCTCTCTCTCTCTCCCCCCTCCCTTACACTCTTCTCTAAAAAAACCAATGGAAAAAATATTCTCAGGTGAGGATAAACAAAGGAAGAATAGCTTCCCAGAACTCTGTCTTTACTGGTCTAAAGTATATATGTACTTAGAGCATCAGAGAGAATGGAAAAAGGTAGGTTATTTTTTATAAGTATAGTAGTATATTTTAAGGAAAAATATAAGAGGAAAATTGTTTTATACTTTTACATACTTTTAAAATATTAGGGTATATCTATAATTCAAATATTAAGATTTCATACAGATTGAAATATTTATTGATTTTTGTTCTCAAGGACTACAAAATAAACAAAAATGAATAAACTGATCTTGAAAAGGGGCTAAGAACTGTAAGTTTTTACTCCATCACTACCTATTTTAATAAGGTTCTTATATTCAAAAACAGATTGACAATTTAAAACTTACCTTGCTGAATTCCTTTCATTCTTTGTTTTTTCCCTGGTTCTTTAAAAAATGATGATCCTAAAGCAATACTGGAGGGTTCTTTAGCTTGTCTGTAATGTTTGAGCTGACTGTCAAAATCTTCTTCTGTTTCCTGACTGTAGTTACCGAAGTTGTCATCACTGTAGTTACCGAAGTTGTCATCACTGTAGGTACTGTACTCACCATATTCTTTACTTTTAAATTTTTTGTTATATTGACTCCTCCTTGATGTCACGTAGCTTCCTGATATGTGGCCATGCTAAGTGGAAACGGACAATCCACTGTTAGGATTTTTCAGTTACATACAGGAATTGAGAGTACCATAAGGCCTCTTTTCTCCCCCCGAAAGTTGGAAGAAAGAGGGAGACAGTTATTAGTTCTGCCCCTTGATTAGTACTGATCTAGGACACCATTTCAAAATAAGTTAAAAAGTAAATGCTACTCTGATATCATTAAATTTCATAATGTTCAAAGATCCTTGCTGGGATGTTTTATCCACTTTTTGCTTTCCATGTCCCATGTCTCAACATTTGTACATACAGGATACTTATGTGAATTCCTGTCATACATGAATTCCTTCTCCAAAAAACAGAAAAAGTCTTTTTGAAAATAAGGAAATGATAGTAAAATAGCTTGGGGGAGGGGTAGAAAAACATATATATTGTTCTAACGTTGAAAAGTTCCAAAATTACATGTTTAAGCATATTATATTTAATAAAAAATGATATGTTTAGACATTTTTCTAAGAAAATATTTGTATCTGAGGTCTAATATTGAAAAATAGATTATTTCCCTAGAAATAAAAGATATCTAATAAATAAACTATTCATTAAGAATTATTTATGACAATATACTTTATTAACTTTATTGCTTCTTTACTAAAGCATGTGAAAACAACACACTTTTTAGTCCTAGAAGTTTATTTAATGACAGTATTCAAGCCTATCTCTATTCACTTTATTAGGTCTATCATACCTTCTGTCAATTTTTTTATTATAAGAAGGCAAAAAAGATTGTAATTACAACTTGAGAATCCAGACAAACCCAGTTTATACATTTTAACTGTGATATAAAAGTACTGCCCCTGCCAGAATACCAACATGCAACTATGAGTTTTTAATAAAATGCAGCGAAATATTAAGTTCTTTTCAGTAATTAGAAATTAGAGAAAATATGTAATTAACACAATTAAGAAAATCAATTAGCTCATAAATTTCAAATACTGAAGACATTGTATAAGATTTTTCATTGTTTTAAGCAGTATTTTTAAAATTTATAAACTATTCTGAAGTTTAGCACTTCAGAAATTCAGAAAAGAAATCAAAATGGTAATTCAAAGGCATGGTTTCTGATTTTTTTTAAGCCAATGAAACAAAACAGAAAATAATTGTTTAAATTAATTAGTTCAATGGTATCTACTTTTTAAAATAAAAATGTAGTAACACTGCCTCAATAATATATCCAATGCGTTATGACTAAAAACTACTCTTAATAGGTGAGTAGGAATTTTTCTCTAGAGATTAGATGTTTATCATAAAAGCTTTTAAGTCTTAATTTAATTCAATTCTCTGATTTGTCATGGCCTTCACAAAAATAATCTTCATATTCCTAGTTTTTAAAAGAATTATCCCTAGCTTTCACTTTATCTTCTCCCTACTTTTCACAACGGCAAACATCCTGTCTCAGGGCTCCTTTCCCAGTGGAAGTCTCGTGGCTTCCTGAGGGTCAGAGCCCAGGCTGGCCACAAGCAGCCCCTTTCATGCTCTAGGAGGAAGTCTCCTTAGGCTGCACATGTTCATCATCTGAATGAACAAAACACACCAGCAAGGATCTAGCAAGTGTTTTTCAAAGCCCAACTAAAAAAAAGAAAAGAAATGAGAAAAACTATTAATTCTACCACAGGATACAGTTTCTCTGACCACTATGCTGGCTGGTTAGTAGGCCATGTACACTGCTAGAACATCTACACTGCCAAACAGGAGCCGGCCCCTCGGCAATCTCTGTCAACATGAAATAAGGGACCAGAAGGCCCTGGACAAAGGTGAGGAAAAGGGAAGGTATATTAAGTCCTCTGGTGTTCACATATATTCTACTTTTGGCCTGTAATTTTGTAGATGTTATATTGTTTTACTTAATTTCTTTGAGTTCTTGAAACAAAAATTCTTGCATCTCTAGGGATATACAATAGTTGATATAATGACAATAACTATATTGTTTAAGAAAATTAGTCGTTTAAAACAAATGTGCTATTGTTTGTACATACAAACTGATCCTGTCCTTCACAGTGGCCCCCAAATAAGTTTATGTATATTTAAGATATGTATAAACTTATTATAGTACTTCTGCCACTATTTAAAATATTCTGCATCTCTTCTTTTGGAATTACTTTTAGTGACAGCCTATGAATCAACAGTTTATAAATCTCAATCTGGTATTTTCAGAAAGAGCAATGCCCATCTTGAGCATTTCTTCATTCATTGGAAGAGTATCCAAATGACTTTTGACTATTTCTAAAAAATAAGTCTAACTGCAAATGGTGAAATTTAGGTACCACATCAATGTTTGTTGAAGTAGAACTAATTTAGAAATTCTGTCATTAGTAGTAAAAATAATTCTAATGAATAGTTAGTTGTTCAAATGCTCTGAGAAAAACCAAATTAGGTGAAAGAATATAGCACAGACAAGCCAGACTGGCAGAAACTGGGCCTCAGAAAGTCTGGGGCTTTTCAGATAGGAGCACACTGACGTGAACACTCTCCAAGGCTCCTGAGAGCCCTGATCGTTCTAGCACAAAATCGTTTTTATACTGAAGACTTTGTTGAGACAGTGCAACATATTTAAGATAAATATATTATATATATATTTATATATATATAAAGTTTATTATGATGTCTTAAAATATTTTGTTTAAAACACTTCAAATAATTTTTCCACTTAAAGAGGTAGATGTCTGGTACCAGAACAACAGAAAGATGAACAAGGATTAGAAAACCTATTCGAAGAAATAATATCAGAAAACTTCCCTGAGGTGGGGAAGAAAAAAGTCACACAAGCCCAGAGAGGCCCAAACAAGGTGAACCCGAAAAGACCCACACCAAGACACATCATAATTACCGTGGCAAATGTTCAGGACAAAGAGAAAATCTTACAGGCCGCAAGAGAGAGACGGAAAGACACATACAAGGGATCTCCCATTAGATTATGAAATGATTTCTCAACAGAAACACATCAGGCCAGAAAAGAATGGACGGAAATTTACAAAGTGATGCAAAGCAAAGGACTGAATCCAAGAATACTCTATCCAGCCAGGCTATCATTCAAAATTGAAGGGGAAATAAGAAGCTTCACAGACAAAAAAAGGCTAAGG